CGGGGATCGCAGGGGTCCTCCCATGCTGGCTATGCCCCGTTCCCTGCCGCACCAGGAATGACAGGAGAGACAGAGGTGCGAAGCAGCCTGACTTCCGGCCTGCAGGCAGTGCTTCTGGCAGGGGTCTTTGGGATGATGGTTGGCATGGCCCCAGTTCGTGCTGAAGAAGCTGCTCCAGCAGAGGCAGCACCAGCAACACCTGCTGTGTCCGTTGGGGGGGGCGTTGACAACATGACATCTCGGAAGTCCAAGCGAACCACCAGGGTGAAGAAGGAGAAGAAGGCAGCGGCTACCAGCACCGACGATTCCGGCAAGAAGAAGCGTGTCATCATCTCCCCGGCAGATGAGCTGGACGAGGATGAGCTGTCTCCACTGCGACCCAACCCTCCGCTGCTGTTCCTGATCTTCGCGACGCCGGTGACGATCTACCTGACCTTCTACGTCCTGGGATCCCTCAACATCATCTGAGCCGTCAGTGAACCGTAAGGTCATTTTTGCAGCTCAGGTCTTAACGGTTTTCCTTGCTACTCCTTCAATGGCAAACAGATGCTCTGCCTTTGGCTGTCTTGGATGGTTCTGTTACAGTTCAATAACGAAAAGCTTCTGTCACCATTCGCCACAGGTTCTTTGCCTGGAAAGAAGACAAGGCCAGATGCCGCTTCAGCGTTGCCTGGTTCAAGCTATCATCAAATGTTCCTGTTTGCAAGGCTCCCGAAGTATGCTGTGAGGGTTCTTGCTGGTATTGTCCTGGGTGAGATCATGGGGCCGGCAACCTTTGCAGGCCATGTTGTACGAGTGTCAGTTCTACCAAGTCTGACTTGTTCTGCGCAGGTGGTTGGTGGTTCCTGATTGCATACACAGCGGTCGCTTGACGTGAGCCAAGTTCAAGTCAAGTTTGATCGACTGACGGACGACAGCAGATGTTTTCTTGCTAGGTGGTTTACCTGATATCCATCGAGTGTGCACCCTCGCTGGTATTCTGCACTGCCAGCTTGCAGCATTTTGGCACAGGTATTCACGATTGATCGCTGGTGTCTTGGAGCCTCCACCTGTCAGGCCAAGTGAAGAGCACAGGCAATTCAGTTTCCTGTGGTTCTGCTAGGGCCCAGCGCTGGGCTTTGTTCTTCGTCAGTGCCTCCATCCTGCTTGCTGCTCACTGCCGAGTTTTGGCCTCACCAGTTCATGTCCGCAGTCCCATTTCTGATGGGGTATGCTGAGGTGCTGACTGGTATCTTCGAATGTGCCGCAGCGAACCCGCTCAGATGATGGGCAGAGGCTGAAGACTCGTTTAGGGTCAGACGAAGCCAGTGCTCCTTGAGGTCACTCTACTGGTTCTGCTCTTGCTGTTGCAAGGCTCGTCGGCAATGATTTCCGTTCGAAGGGCAACATGAAGTTGACTGAAAAGGAAACATGAAGATGCCCGATGGCTCTTCGCCGATTTCGCAGAAAACTTGGCCCATTCATAATGCTGAGCTGGCTAGACAACCTGTGGCCGTTTGTGTGCTAAGGTTTTCTCACATCGCCTCTCAAGTATTTGGTGTCTTCTACGTCGGCTATCTCCCATCCTTTTGGGTGCAGCTGGCCTGTGCAGCAGGTCACTTGTAGGTCTTGGCTCTTGAAAAGCCGTATGAATGTTTATGGCAGGACAAGTTTTAGATCAAGGCAGGCTTAGAGGAGAAGGGCGGCCTTCCTCAATCAGCCAGTTTTCTAAACAAGTGTAGATTCCCTGGTGATGATCCGGCAATGGAGCACCGATCGTCGTGGCATGATGTTGCTGACTGTTTTGGGATCGCACTCGTGCGGGACCAGTTATGACAGTGTGTGCTACATACATCCTACAAATGTAAAGGGATCGAAGGTCCTTCGCTTCTCATGATTCTCATGCTACGTGATGTGGATAAAGAGAATTTGCATGAGAGTTTTTCATGATCGCCATTGTTGAGAAAGCATGGCTCGATAAATAGCAACTTGATACCGTGGCCGTTCTGGATACAAGTGGTCGGGTTATCTTACATCAGTCCGGTTTTTTATGCATCGATTGAGCGTCTACTTGGGGAAAGCATCTCTTGGGCATGGCCACTGCTTAACAGCATCATCAGGAAAATCATGTTTAAGCCAGTGTCTACATGCAGTTTGGCTGTTTCAGCATGACATCCTGGTGTCGACTCGCGTTGCATGGATCGAGCGTCTACTTGGGGAAGCCATGTTTTGGGCATGGCCACTGCTTAACAGCATCATCAGGAAAATCTTGTTTACGACTGCGTCTGCATGCGGTTTGGCGGCTTTAGCGTGACATCTCTCTCGCGTTCCTGTAGCGAAATCCCATAGCAAAATCAATATTTGGGTGGGCTCCTGTTATAGAATCCCCTTAGTAAGTACAGGATTTCTCTCGGGTTGCCGTAGCGAAAGCCCATAGCAAAATCAGCATTTTGGTGGACTCCTGTTATAGAATCCCCCTAGTAAGTACAGGATTTCCCTCGGGCTCCTGTAGCGAAGTCCCATAGCAAAATCAGTATTTCGGTGGGCTCCTGTTATAAAATCCACCTAG